CATGTAATTTTTATTCTTCCAGGTGAACTGGAATCAGTTTTTGCTTTGTACATTCATAGCCCATCTTAATTTAGTATGTAGGCTATGGTTTTGATGATAGAACAAAAAATAATGTAATGGCTCAGGTTTAGGAATTCTACAATTAAAATATAAAAGGTAAATTTGATTTGTGAGACATTAATGGAGTACTTCAGTACATGGCTACCTTCTGATGTATTCTAAAGGAAATCTAATTATTTTCATTATGAATGCTATGAAAGTCAGGTCATGCACATTTGCATGTACTTTCACTTAGTTTTTAATCACTCTCTGAGAATGTTAAACATTCCTCTAGGGAAAATTCAAAGTAAAGAGAAAACTAGGTATGTTTTAAGCCAATCCTATACAGTGTATTGAACTGTGTTTTTAACTTGCCTGCTCTATCTCAGTTAGACATTACTGTTCTTTCAGCTTGAGAAAGAGAGGGTGTTTGAGAATGCATTTGTTTTGAATACTTTAGCCTGAGCTAGCCAAAATAATACTATTTGGCTTTTGAAGACAAGCAGTAGCCAACAAATATGAATATGTGCTGCATCATTATGTTATATACCAAACTCTTGGGCATCAAAGTGATCTTAAATTCTTCACTCTCAGTTTCCAAGTCTTTAGGACAGTTGTACAAATGTGGTCAAATCACTAGTTTCTAATCATACAGTCACTTGTGTCTGCTCAAGAACGCACAACAAGATGACATTCAGATAAATGCTATTTGTTTTTAATCACCAGTATTTGAAACTTATCAAAAAATTAACGACATCCCTCCTGTACAGTTATATGAATCTATATGAATTATGGGAGGAGGATCTCACTCCCTTCCCTCCAGTGGCCAAGCTCACACCCAGAAATATATAGATAACACAGATAGAGTTGATGAGTTATCAAATTTAAAATAAAACAACAGAATAGAAAGTTCCAGGAGTGGTTATGGGAGGAGCTAAGGGGAGGAATTAAGTTAAATGTGATCAAAATATGTTGTGTGAAATTTGAAGGGAATTTAAAAGTTTAAATAATAAAATACTAGAAAATTATGTATTTTTCCTTGTAATTCATGTTTATAAATTAGCTATTATTTCTATCATTATCCTAATTTGTATAGGAGATAATGAAGAATAAATCAAGGTAAAGTAATTTTGTAAGACAGAGGGGAAAATATACGATGAACAACCTCTGGGTAGCCCTCAAAGGTTCTTATGAAATTTTTAAACTCCCTTTGGAAAGTATTTATTAAGTATGTAGATAGCTGTTTAGCCAGGACACGTGTGTGTGTGTGTGTGTCTCCATAATGAATAAATCATAGTTACAAATAACTGTCCAGTCAAATTAACATATGCATTAAATCATCATCTTATGAGTGCCTTTTTCCCAGTAAGTATTGCTTACCACAGCCTTCCAAACATGGAGACATTGGTCTTAATAATGTTTCCACTAGGTGAACAAATAACCAGTATATCCTATGCCATCCTGCTGAAATGCCTTCTATTTTATAATTCCTGTTTCTATGGATGTGTAATATTTACACTGATGAATGAGAAGATGATCAGCACTGAGGAAGGGAGGGAGGAGAAGAAGCTAGAAGGGCAGAAATGATCTTGATTAGCTCACCTTCCTCCTTTATATGGGAACTTGGCTTTGAAGTTGTTTACCCTTTGTTTTGATTACAAAACGGGCACTTTACCTCTTTTTGAAATATTGCTTGTTTTATGTGCCCTAGCAGGGGTTACAGTGGGAGACTGTAATCTTTGGGCAAAATAGCAACTGCTGCTTACTCAGTCACATACCAGAAATGTGACTTTAAGCACATCATATAATCTTTGATAGTCTTAGTTTTTTTTATCATCATGTTAGGATAAAGATAATTCATTCACAATATGGGCAGTCACAACTTAAAACATTGTTATTAAATACTCCTTCCCTAAAAATAATTGTAAATATTGATATAAGAAATTATTTTTGCTCTGAATTCCTAGGGAAATAAAAAGCCACATTTAATACATTTTTATGTTGTAGTTGTTATTATCATCATCTATGTGTGCTAGACAAGTGGTTCTCTAAGTTTTCACATTCCACCCAAAATACAGTTATCCAAGATGCTTACTTCAGAGCAAAAACAAGTCCCTCTGTCAAGCATATTGAGATTTTCATGCTCATGAGATGATAAGCCCAGATTCATTGTCTTTGAGAATTTGGCTCTCAGTGAAAGAGATGGTGTCTAGAATCTACCTAACAGCCCTTGACTAGATCCATAAGTGGTAATTACTATTTCTTAAACTCTTCCCCTGAGAACTGATTTATCTTCTTGTTTCACAAATGTTCCCTTTCATGCTTATGTATGACAAGTTCACCTTTAGGATACATTTCTAAGTATCCAGTTTGATTGCTTCTAGGAACTATTGCCCTTTCTCTTATTGTAAATTGTTTTATCAAAGACTGAACTATCTCATAACTGACATAGCTGTATAAAAACCAGACAATAAATTAGATTGCATTTGAGATACCAGTCTGGACCATGAAGTCCTATCATTAGGAATAGTGCCATAGTTTAAAAATATCCTTGTCTTTTGAGAGAGACACCCCCACTTGTTAGGATTTGGATGAGAACTTTAATATGGTATGGATTCTCTGCTGAGAATATGTGCCATTAATTTACCACTAGAATGTACATAAAATCTTGAAATTTACTTTCAATCTAAGTTTTATGTGAACACAGACACTCCATTTAAAAAGATCTCTGTAACTTGAACTAATAAAATGCAAGAAATTAAAACTCCACAATTAGGTTGAAATATAGTTTACAGTGTTTTAAAGTAAACAAACATTTTTAAAACTTCATCTAATCCTACACTGTGGACCCAACCACACTGATGCTTACTAAGTCCTGTATTTTAAAGCCTGTCTTTGTACATTGAATAGAAATGGATATGGAATTATGAATGGATGGAACTTCAGATGTCCTTAAAATTACCATCATCTGAACTGAATTGTAATCTATTCAAAAAATTGAAAATACACTATTGCTATCACAATAATTTTTTCTGGCATAGGGAGATGGCTCCGTGGTTAAAACTTACTGTGCAAGCCTGGAAATGTCAGTTCCAATTCTCAGAACCCATGTAAAGGTAGAGGTAGTAGTGATGTCTATACTATCAGCACTACAATGGAAGTGAGAAATCAGACACAGAAGAATCCCAGGATGGCCATTGGACAGCTAGTCTGCCATATGCCAGAGCAAACAAGAGAGCCCATCTCAAACAAAATGGAAGGCAAGGACTGAAGATGGAGTTTTCTGTCCTGCCAGGTTCCACAGTCATATAGTCCAAAATAAGCACACAGAGGTTTCTATGAAGTATAAACTGCTTGGCCAAGGGCTTGGGTTTCTTACTGGATAGATCTCTCTTAATTACAAACCCATTTTTATTAATCTATGTATTACCACGAGGCTGTGGCTTACCCTTAATCCAGCATTTTACTCCTTCAGAAGCAAAGTGGCTCTCAGAGGCCTCTATCCCCTGCCTTCTTCTGGTCTGGTAACGCCACCTATCTTCCTGCCTGGCCAATCAGCGTTTTCTTCATCAACCAATAAGAGAAACATATACAGAAGGACATCCCCCATCAAAGGACCAACATTTGTGCTGGTCCTCCAACCTTCACATCTGCACCACATGTGTATGTTTGAACATATTCACACAGAAACATGTACATACAAACATACACACACACACAGAATGTTTTAAATCATAGCTTATACCTTATTTACTTTTGATATTTAGAGATTTAATTCCTTTATTTTCACGAAAGAGAGAGGTGGGTTACTGATCACGATCTATGTTAAGTGTTAAAAGACTTGTTTTCTGGTTATCTGTGGCACAATATTTAATAACAGATCAAAGGCAAGGAACCTAAACAGTTTCTGATTTGTTTTGCTGATTTTGCAATTTAGGGACCAGTTCCCAGACTTGTAACATTCTGCTATCCAGACAAAATATTTTAAAAGACAGAATGTGTTATCTCTTCACATGCCATATGTAAAGACATGGTGCATGCTTTTGCTTGAGGGATATGTTTGGTGCAATGTTAGATGAATCTATTGATTGTTAATATACACTGGTTTCTGTTGCATATGTCTCTGAAAACACTGTTTACAGTATAATATGTGCTATTCATTGCACTCTTGGTTTCTGTGCTCCTTTGACAAGATTCAGGGATTTGAATTAGCATTGAAACACTATGTCCTCATTTTACAGAACCACTTCACTTGAGAATATCCAATGATGAACACCCTGTGGGTCAAACAAATTATTTTTAAATGAATGCTAGCACCAATTTATTAAATGAATGTACTGTGCATTTTTAAGGAACATAATCCATACGGATCTAAAAGAAACTACTAGCACCAGTAGAATTTTCGAGGGTTTAAAAAATCTTCAGAGAATAAAAACAGAGATGTTTTGGGGAGATGTGGTACATGAATATTGAAAAACCACTCATTTCTTCATGATGAAGTCTTTTCTGACAGGAAACCAAATATGTTACAATTCAAATGTTCTATGTTGGGGGGGTATTTGATGGCATTCAGCACTAAACTGTTATTTTTTTCTTCTTTTATCATCCCTTACTCATGATTTAGGGTGATGTGATAATGTGTCATATTTCATAGATAGAGAAGATTCACAGTCACATAGATCACATCTGAACTCCATGTGCACCACTTCCTACTTCTGAGAGGATGGTGCTGTTCATTTCCCTCAGCATTTGACATCTGTGATGTCAGTGATACCTCCCTTCAGATGAGGTTGTGTGAGGTTGAAGTGTTTCAGTAGACTTGAAAGTGATTAGATGGCTAGTTCATACATCTTACTATTATTGAGTTTCTGATAAACACAGAGGCCATCTGTTACACAAGTGTTCAGAAACAGCTGTGTTTTTTTTCGGTTTTGTGCACTCATGTGTGTTTCCTCTTACAGATGGATACACCACTGATGACATTGAGTTTTACTGGCGTGGCGATGATAACGCAGTCACAGGGGTGACGAAGATTGAGCTTCCTCAGTTCTCCATCGTAGATTATAAACTTATCACCAAGAAGGTGGTTTTCTCCACAGGTGTGTAGCAGAGGGGAAGTGTTTAAGCAAAAGCAACTTCAGCATGTTTTTTTTTTCAGGATTCCTTTTCTTGGGTCTGTGTCCTAGGAAACAACAATATTGCCATGCTACAACTCCTATTTTCCAAGAGTTCCCATGGTACAATTCAGAAACACACAGGTATTTTCTGGAAGGAAATCTCAAGCAGAGCACATGTCTTCTCCTCACTTCTCATTTGCCAGAGACAAAAAGGGAGTATGGAAAGGGGGAAGAAGGAAGAGCTGGATCAGACTGAGGAGTATTGGTATTTTATTTTAGCACTTTATTTTTCCAATCATAGTTTGCCAAGGACACAGTTCATATGGCAGGGATCTATCACTATAGCATGGCATCCTCTAAAGTCCACATTTTCTTTAGAGCATGGGATTTTTATTAGCTCCACCTTCTCTTTGCACTAAGGCCTTCCAAATTTGAGATGACATGTTTCCCTCATTTCATACACCTGTAATATTGTGGGTGGCTGCATGAGCTCACTTACAAAAGATGCAGGAAGGCATTCGTTTTCTAGAAACTACTTCAGTGAAAGTAATAAGCTTACCGGAATATTCCTCTTGCTGTTTTTCTTGTTGAAATTATTCCAACAGGCACATAAATAACTTACCCTATCTCTGTAGATTTGGAGAATCGACTTTCTGCTAAGGATTCAGAAACTTGTAGAGCTGTAAACCATTTCCAGAAAAAGTTGTGTTGTGACTTAGTGAAAATGCGAAGTTGGCTCTAGCTTAAGAGGGGTGGAAAAAAACAGCCAAGACACTTCCTATAAGTCTGAGGTTTCTAAATCCCTGTAACTGGGTGGAAAGGAATTTTTCATCTCTCCTGCATTTTACAATGTGAACCTTTTACACTCCAAGACTTTACACTCCTGTATGCCTTCTCTGTAATGTTAACTCCTCAGAGTTTCACAATCAAAGCACTCAGGTCTTGTTTGATATTGGGGTGGGGTGTTTTGTTGGTTGGGTTTTTTGGTTGCCTAGTGTATACTAAGAGCTATGTCCTTAGGATAACACTGATTCTTTGCCTCCCATAAATCTTATTTAAAAGTAGTAATGTTCTACATTTTCTTGAGTGATATATTTATCTTAGACTAGTGGTTCTCCACCTTTCATAAGCTCCTTTCATGTGGTGGCCTCCAGTCATAGCATGATTTTTATTGCTAGTTCATAGCTGTAATTTTGCTATTTTTCTGAATATTCATGTCAATATAAGTCTGTGTTTTCCAGTGGTCTAGATGACCCCTATGAAAGGGTCTTTTGACCCCTGACGGGATCACAACTCACAGTTTTGGAACCACTACTTTAGACTATAACACAAGCAATTAATTTGTTAAGGAGCAAAAAGGATGTGCATTGTGAAAACTCTTGCAGATACCTGGGTGCTGATCACAAATGGAAGATGCATCCTGTGGATGCTGAAGTTGTTTTTACTGCCATTAGAGCCTACCGCTTTATTCTTATATTTAAAAGAATTATAGGGTAAATGTATTAAGAAAGAATTGAAAGAGGGAACAGAGTAACTGCTCCAAATTGCATTGTCTTCACAGTTGCAGAGGATAAATGTCTTTGATGTAGTATATGAGGCTGAGCAGGAAGAACAAGGATTCTTTAGTTGCTGGTAAGAACAGGATATATTCCACACTTGAGTCCCCCCTGTTCATTAAAATACCTGGGATCTCAAACTGGATTTACAGGAAACCTATGCTCCTCACCAGCAGCTAAAACTACATTTAGGGAAGAAATACAAACTTTTTATGGGCCTTCCCCTAAAAATATTGATGGATAATGATGATGCTCTCAAATTGCCTCTCTAGGTTCTTACCCCAGATTGTCCCTCAGCTTTAAGCTGAAGAGAAACATTGGCTACTTCATCCTGCAGACATACATGCCGTCCATTCTGATTACCATCCTCTCGTGGGTCTCCTTCTGGATTAACTATGATGCTTCTGCTGCACGAGTTGCATTAGGTAGGCCATTGGCAAACTGTGAGTCCTCTCTCTCCCGTTTCCTTTCTCCCTCTCCCCTTTCTCTGCATTTTCTCTATCTCCCTCTCCCCCATCCTTCCTTTACCCTCCTGTGTGTGTGTGTGTGTATGTGTGTGTGTGTAACATGAACTTTCTTCACCCAGAATTTTGGGTCACACAATAAGACTGGACTGTTCACATTACAAGAGTTCAGCTGTGAGACTTTGGTGATCATCTGATTCAGCGTTAAATCAATTAAACACAAATTAAAATTTTTCCCTGTCAAAATTAGTTAATGGTAGAGCTGTTGGTAATGAAATTGGTTTCATTAGTTTGATAGTCTCATCAACACATATTTCACATAATAATACTTGCATAATTGCACAATCTGTCTCCATGCTTATTCTCCTGTGAAATGCTTCCTTTATTCCCCACCTCAGGATGGATATGTGCTATCTAACAAATGTATAAGCAAAAATTTTTCTGAGGGCGTATTCGCACTTCAAGGCCCATGTAGAAGACAGAAGACAAAAGAGTCAAAATACTGGGACATCCACTGTAGTATTGTCCATCATATGTCTGTTATAACACCAAATTTGAATAACTTTTAATAACTTGCATTTCATAAACATTTTTATGAGATTCATGTAAAGTAAATTGTATGACCTCTTGCACAGATTTTACTGTTTACATTTCTGACCATTCCCTTTAAAATAAGGGATTGTTTGACTTCATCGTAAGACTCTGATTCAGTCATTTCACTCGCTTAAAAACCATTCATTTTGCATCCAAAAACATTTGCTTAGCATCTAACATGTGCTGACACAATGAGCTACTGAAAATGCAATTCTCCTTTTCTGAAAGTTACATTCTAGCAGGAAAAGATAGATAAGAGTCCTAACAGCAAGGACATGGAAGCAGCCTCGATGTCTACTAAGAAAAGAATGTATAATGAAAATGTGAACCATATACACAGGGAATTTTATTTAATTATAAAAAATAAAATTTGAGGAAAATTTGCTTAATATGAAAATTACATTAAGTGATGCTATCAGAAAGAAAAAAAATGTCACCTTTTTAACTTATGAAAACCATAACTTTTAATGTTTATATGTATAAATATGTGCACGAGTGTCAATGAAGCGGGAAATGTAATCATCAGGGCACAAAAAGAGGTGTGGTGTTGAGGAAAGGAAAGAGGGCGACAGAGCACACATGAAAGCAGGAAGTTGGGTACTAGAGTGGAAAGGCAGCAGTGGGACACAGGGCTGGAGACAAAGACGGAAATTGAGCAATACAAATGATGTTTGAAAATGTCATAATGAACTTTACATGCCCATTTAAAAAAATAGAAAATAAGAAAGTGAAGAGCTACAAAACATGATAACATCCAGTGAATCCATAGAGAGGAGTCAGCAACATTTTGTAGCTATGCCTTGGGAGTGTTATCATGATCAAGGGTGACCTCACTCAAGAGTTGTTACAGGAGAAAAGACTTCAACAAAATAAAGATCCAGAAAAAATATCTGAGTGGTTATAGTTCAAGCCCCTGAAGCTCAGGGATTTGAACAAACAGGAATATGAGTGGGATCCTGCAGAGGACTGGAGAGATGCCATAGGAAAAGACAGTAGGTGATGGGAGACTAAGGGACTTAAAGCTTTGATTTTATTCCTCATGAAGTAGAGACACTGAATAGATAAATGATAGAACATAATTTCAGTTCTATGGGGGGAGTATTGAGTGCTATTAAGTTAGATTGAGATGGATCAAGGGTGAGGGTGGAAGGGAGGAGCAGTGACTTCCAGCAATATATTAAGTCTCTGTCACTTGTGTTCTTAGAGTAATAACCCACCTGTATAGGCTAACAACAGATACAGTTTCTATGTAGTAGTTTTGTGGTAGTCTCCCGTAAGCACTGAAAGAGCCCCTGGAGAAAGGTCTGTATGTAGTAATATTTCTGTGCTCTTTTAGGCAAAGATTCATGTTCATAAAACAGTAATAAAGAACTGGAAGCAATAAACCCTGCTTTCATAAAGTAAAATTCTAGTATCTATTATACAAAGATGTAACTTATTGATGCCTTAAGAGAAGTGCCTAAAATACCTTTGTATTTGAATCACTTATTATCAGGTACACAATTATTTTCAAGTGATTAATATTAAAGTCAGCAATGCCAGGTTTGGTAAATGTGTAATATAGTATATCCTGTAGGAGAAATGACAAGGAGTAAAAGAAAATTGAAAGTATTCCAAAACAAATAATGAGGAATATGTGAAATCTGTAAGAAAACACCTTATCTAAAGTGGAACTGGGGTCCAGACTAATTTTGTGTAGCTACTCATGAGGTTCTACTAATAACAAAATGAAAATCATTAAGGAGATAGAATTAAATGAGGAAACTGCACCAGAGAAGCCTTTGAAAAATGAAATTAAAGTTTTGAGAGGTGATTTAGGGTAGCTTGGAAGGTGAAGGTCCATGGCATCCGAGTTCAGATGGTGTCAGTACAACTTCTCACTTTTGTGACAGTGGCCTCTGTGCTTTGTTTTCTCATCACTATTTTGCTACAAAGCTGAAGTGTATTATACAGAGGACTCTGAACTCCCAGTGATTTTACCTTCCAGTGACAGCTTTGAGACTAACTGCTCTCCACTGTTGGAGATGCCTGCTAGCTGGACAAGAGATTAGAGTCTGACCCAGAGTGACATTTCCAATAAGGACCTCTATAACTTATCTGTGTCTCACATCTGTATGTTATGTATTCAGCTGTCCAACTCAAAAACATGAGCACTCTGGCTCCTGTTTCTTTAACCCTCTGTCTTCAGTTTCCAAATGTTTGCACTGATTTGTGTTTCATCTGTATAATTTACTTTCATTTTTATTTGTTTATAAGGATCTTCATGGAAACCTTTTAGCTGGTATTCTTTGTCCCTGCCTCATACTGTGTTCCTCCATTCCTCACACTGCCATCAGAGTGATTTTCCTAAATTCCATGTGTCCATATTTGTGCTTCCCAGTCTGCATCTGGCCAGCATTCAGTGTTCTCTCTCATTTGGCAGGCCCTCATTTGACCTCTGTTCTTCTCTAATAGATCTATAAAGATCTTGAAATCATGTTAAAGTGTGTGAACTCTCTCAAAACCAACCTTTACATGATTTTTTCCACTCATGATATTATGTAGTCTTGGTTAACCTTTCATCTCCAGTCTCCTGTTGCCTGAGAAACACCCACTCATTCTTCAGAAAGCAACCCTATAATCCACATTCTTGCTCCTGACGCATCAGGAATGTGAACCAGGGTCATCTCTATACTAGTTTTGACAAAACATACATGTCTATCATAATATTTAATTCTTATTTCTAAGCCCAACTTCATATATAACTTCAAATAGAAAATACAATTAAAGGAAATTTCCCATAACAACTCATGTTCACTGTAAGTTAACGTATGCATATTTCCAGGTAGGGCCACTAGGTTGTTCTATGATAAATCTCCATCAAATATATCAGTACATATAAATAAATAACACTAGCTTTTGTGAGAACAGTAAGGAAACACGAATGTTATTTCTCTAACATTTCCTCTTTTCTTTCTTTCTCCAGGTATCACAACTGTCCTAACAATGACCACAATTAACACCCACCTCAGGGAAACGCTCCCTAAAATTCCCTATGTAAAAGCCATCGACATGTACCTAATGGGGTGCTTTGTCTTTGTCTTCATGGCCCTGCTGGAATATGCATTGGTCAACTACATCTTCTTTGGGAGAGGACCCCAGCGTCAAAAGAAAGCAGCTGAGAAGGCTGCTAATGCCAACAATGAAAAGATGCGCCTGGATGTCAATAAGGTACATTTACAGGGAAAACAGTTCTCATTGCTTATGCTCATAGAGTAATGCTGTAGAGCTTGATAGACTTCCTAAGACATAGAGAAACAGGGCCTGGAGAAGGGAATGGTAATATTCTCCCAAAATTACAGAGATAATAGTTGAGAAACAAAAATTGACTCCCAAAATGCATCACCCATGCTTGGATGCCCTTTCTGTTAACAATGGGGATGTTCAAACTTCATTACCTGATAACCACACAGGCTGTTTTCTTCATATGAGAATTTTATGTAATAATTAATTTACATTTCTCTAAATTTACTTATTCATTTAAATTTATCTAAAAAGAAAACTTAATTTCATCTTACTCAATAGTATTTGCTGGTACATGACCTTAAATATAACATAAAACTACATTATTAAACTGTTGCTTATACTACTTAATGAAGGCTCTGGACCTGAGATCCACATTCTCTTTGACTTAAAATAGATATAAACAACTTCAGAAATGAGTTAATTACCTACCAACAACAACTTGAGATGTTTTTCTCCTCCAAGTAATCAAAATGATAAGAAGAAGTAGGGAAAAGAGGAGTAATTTTCTCAAGTGACACAGGTTACTTAATGTCTTGCCCAGGTACCACTTACCCCAGAACACTTCCCTGCATGAGCAACTCCCCCCAGCACCCATTTTCCTTAATTCAAGGAGGATAAATGACTTCCTGCACAACTTTACACACTGTTTCATCTTGAAGACAGATTTTCATCTCAGTGAAATCTCCTCAAGAGAATTTTTGAAAGACTAAATCCTGGTTTCTCTTATGTCTGGGCATCATACATTTTATATTCTAGTTTAGGAATCCTCTCTTTCAGAGTTTTAGTAGTAGTCTTAATGGAGGAGAGCATCTCTGATCCAAATGTAACTTCATCTGATTTGCTATTGTATTACTTTCTGCTCTAAACAGTTGCATGTTTGAACTTTTTGAGATTAAATAATGTTTTTGCTTTACATCTGTCCTAGTGTTTATGAAATATTATGTAATACAGGACTGATTACATAGTTTATGCTGATATCTTGGAGAAGAAGAATTTATTTAAACCACCTGTACTTATTAAACTTAACAATAATTAACTGGGTCACTGACATCTTAATGCCTTTGACTTCAATTTAATTCCAAGGATAGAACACAAGTGAGCTCCACCACTGGAATTTACTTGTAGCCTACTCCACGGAAGATCCTGAGTCATGTTCCCAAATTAACCATAAGTCTGATAATTGTTTGCAGACTATTTTTTAATTAAAGACTCTTCTCCCTCAGAAGATGATATCTATAATGATAGACTTTATATGTAATCTCTGAAAGCCAATAAGCATGGAGTCTAGGAACTTTCAATTTATTGCCAGTGATCAGGTATTCCATAGCTGGAACCTTTAGGCTGGTAGACAGCAAAAAGCCAGCCTATTGGTATGGCTTTCTCAATTTGACAAATAAGAATGCTGTTAAATCCTTTTCATGATTTACCAAATATTGTATCCCAAGTAAAGATAACAGAAATAATACTAAATAAAACTGTCTCCTAGGACTAGGGATTGAAATGATTTTAAACAATTGCCTAATGCAAGACTGACTTAATAAGATAACATTTGATCCCTTTATACCTTCATCTACTTGTTCTTTTTATACTAATTTGCATTTAAATGATAAATTTAAGATTGAATCAGTGGAGATTTTAAAGAAGTGAAACCTAAAGGAGCCTTACAAAGTTTTAAATTCAATTGTTTCCGGATGGAAGCAGAGAAAAGCTCATGGAATAGGCACTTCTTAATAATGAAAAGTCCATCATCCTGACTGAAGGTGGGCACAGTGTATTCTTGACAAAAAAAGAGAGAACAGAGAGGTATGCCAAGGCAGCTCCTACTACAGTGGTTCTCAAAACAGGGGAATCTGTCCCACAGAGAAGTTTGACAATGTCTAGAGACATTTGGATTTTTTGACAAGCTAGAAAATGGTTGTTGCTACTGGTATTTCATGTGAGGCACCCAAGGGTGCCAGTAAACATCCCATAATACCCAGAATAGTTTCACATGCTACAGAATCATCTGGCCCAGAGCACCTAACCTTCCTACTTCAGACCTGAGAAACAGTGGCCTTTTCCCCTGCCCCCAAATAATATATTTGAGTTGGTTTCCTTTCTTCTTGACCACATGATTTGACCGTTTTTATTTGATCAGATCCCCAGTAAAACAATCAAGCACAATAATTCCACATCAAATTTTGAAACAATCAGGTTTACTATTTGGCCATATGTGAAAATAGAAGGAGCCAACCTGTCTGGCCTTCAATTCTTCATCAGTATAATAGGGCCAATTCTTTTGTCATAAAGTCATTATGAATAGATTATTTGAACATTATTATGATAATGTGAAAAGAGTGTAAGAGAACCTTCATTACCTAGTAGCCACTCATTAAATAGTATGTGTCAATAAAAATGATATATTAAGCACTACTGCTTTCATATTAAATAGGCCATCTACATACCAAGTAGTACTGATTCGAACCAAAGTAGATTATTACCTAAAAAGGAATATATGTATGTCAGAAATTACGATTACAGCAAGGAGATCACCTTTTCAAAGCAACCAATTGTGTCAAATTCTGTCAGTCATTTCATGGGGTAGCGCATCATTTTGATTAGATTAAGACAAAAAGATGCCCATGTAGCATTTAAGATACTGACTTTCCTTTCAACGCAGCATGAAAGGTCAGAGGAGATCCATATTGAGTTCTGATTATGCAATCCTTTCTTTTGTGCTGGTATCATGCATAATGCCACTATTTCTTATCAGAAATATCCCTTCTTTCAAGCGTAATTCTAAGGTTATTTTCCCCCAAGATTGGATACATAATCAGCTAAGTATTGTTATCTCCTCTAGCAAAGAAAAGAATCAGCTGCTAGAAGAGGGATTAGATTTTTCCCCCTGCTTTGATGACTTCCTAGAAATGGAAAGACTGGGTCTGTTAAGCTGTGGTGAGTTTTAAACTGCACAGTCCCAAGGTCAGGGTGGGATGAGACAGGGAAGGTCAAAAGGAAAAGATGGGGTTGCTTCTGGATTTTCTTTACTTCTATTTATCATCTGCTGTTATTTTTTTGAAAACATATTTCAGCTTTTAAAGTACTTCCCATCCTTTCACTTAAGTAACTCAGAAACCAAAGCTAATAAGGAAAACACACAATAGCTTCATTTACACAGGAAAGTTAATCAAGGCCCTAGTACCTGCTCTGTAATTAGTGTGTGCTCCACAGCACTGACGAAAACAAAAGTACAACTCTCATTCCATATTAGTCCATCTGTGCAATCGGCAACCTGTGCATGACAATCCATAACAGTGTCTCTTCTAATTCTCCCCATGTAACAATCTATATTGTAAACTACTAAGAATTTAAAATCAACTTCAAACCAGTGTCTCCCATCTCCTTACTTAACAATCTATACTTTAAACTAAGATTTAAAATCGACTTCAAACCAATGTCTCTTTCACCTCTCTTTATATAACAATCTATACTGCAAACTACTGAGAATTCAAAATCAGCTTCAAACCAGCATGACACTTACTGATGTTTTCCTCAGGAGTCTTCTACAGTAATTCAAAATGTATGATACACTCCACCCCTCAAAATGAGAAAAATATGCAAAATCTATTTTGGTGCGAGCAAAGCCTATCTATGTGCTTTCAGGTGTGGGTGTGTGTGTTTTCTGATAGAATTTGCTTTTGGCTGATTTGCTTCCATGGCTAAAGTTACACACCCACACACACACACACACACACACACACACACACCCACACACCTTTCCCTGCTTTATGCTTTGAGTGGTTTCCTGAGTTCTTTTTCTGCTGGTTGCTATGTATTTGTATATTCGAGAATCTAGTCATTCTTGCAATTTCAGCCTTGGTTACTTCACACTTGAAATCCCTCCAATCTGCTTTTTTTGTATTGTTAAACCTACAGCCACCAGTTTTCTAAAAAAAAAAAAAAAACTCTTCCAAAAAAATCCCCATTTGATGTTCTTTATTCTACATTAGGGTGTTGTGACTCTGTGTCGTCCTTATGACTTTGGTGAATCTTTTGTAATGCAGAGCAGCTAAGACCTTTTTAATGCACACCCAGTGCTTAGAATTAACTCGGAAAATTCTTTTGAAAACCAACTAATCAGCATTCTCCCATCCTCCATTAACATTGGTCTTTTTCTTTATGCTTCCTGAAGCCAATAGCATTTATGTATACCAAGCTCACCGTAATTGCTAGTGCCATCAGTCAACTTAATTAGCACACTCTCTGCTTTGTCTTCTAGATTTTTTATAAAGATATTAAACAAAATTGGACCCAGTATCGATCCTTGTGGGACCATAATGGAAACCTCTCCCCAACTAGACGGATTACCAATTACGATTTCTCTCTGTATACGGTTAGATAGCCAGTTTTAAATCCATGTGCTTATATTTCTGTTTGGAACAAATTTGTTTAGCTGTTCCCATTAAAATAATGTTTGGAATTCATAAAGATAATCCATAGGCATGTGCCCTCACATTTGAGTCTAACAGAAATCTCCCCTGAAGACCTACTTGAGTCTTCAATATAATAAACTGTGTGGACATCAGATTTGAGAAAATTTTTGCAATGCTAGAGAACAAAGCAAGTAGGATGATTTGCATATGCCCATTGTTTATTTGGAGAGATTGCAGTATTACAAGATAGCTTGGCTTTCCTTGTTTTTAGTGCTGGGTGTTTTGAACAGTTGAGTGAGTAAGAAGTTAAACTTTTCTTCAGTTGTTTAGAATATTGGAATTCAGAAGCTTTATGTTCTGCCCTAGATTGTTTGTAACCAAGATTGTTATATTTGCATCAAATCCTTGCTTTATTGTTATCTATTTTTATAAATAAGCATTATTTTGGCAGGCCTGACACTATTTTCATGAGAGACAAAGACACTAATTGAAAGTATTCTGTCCAAAACTGGT